AACAAAGAACATCGTGACGACGTACTCCATTCTGCTTGCCGTGGGAAAGGCGCATCGCTACACGAGGAAGGCGTTTGCCCCTCGCATACGTAGAATGTGCTGCCGTAGACCGTATCCCTGAAGCTCAACCACACCTATGTTCGATACATCGTAGCATCATCTCTCACACGGTAAGGAGAATGGAAAAAGGAAGCTGTTTTCTTCGTGGCGAAGCGGACCCCCTTGTTTGTGACACTGCAACTGCTGCTCGCGGATGACGACATGGCGACAGACAGACAAAATCTAGCGTTTGACGCCGGTCTTTCCCGCCGCAGGAGGTTGAAGCTACTCAAAGTCGGGGAGGTGTCGTGATTTGCAATTCCCTACAGACTCGTTGACGCGCCATGAGATTTGCGCTGTTGTTGTATGCATATGTCGCCGAGATTATTCGTCGGCAAGGAAATCAAATAAACAAAACCTTCGGCGGACCGGACCGTCTTTCTTTCAACTGGCCAACGGTTGTTTGGATGGCGAGACAATTCCCGGTCTTCTTGGCCGCCACAGGAGGCGGAAGCTGATGCTCAAACTCGGGGAGGGGTCATGGTTGGCGATTCCCTACCGAACCGTACTCACTCGGGACACCACGTCATGGACATGGCAATAATAACATCCCCTCAACGAACCCTGCTGAAGTTAATGGGTGGGTGGGTGAGGGACCCCAACCAACAAAAAAAACAATCGCGGTTCGCGTTGTTTTGGCGACCCCACCGGCGAAAGGCGAGAGAGGGAGAGGTAGCGGAGAGAAGACAAGGCATTCACGAGAACACCCAACACAAAGGCCGTTGGGCCGGACGACCTACCGGCTGAGCTGATCAAGCTTTTCCTGGACGGAGGTCAAGGTCTCCTCCGCGAATTCCACGCCACTGTCGTGGACGTGTGGCAGACGGGGGACGTACCACAGCAGTGGAAGGATGCCACCATCAAAGTGCTGTTCAAGAAGGGGGACACGATGGAGTGCGGCAACTACCGGGGCATTTCTCTCGTCGCACACGCCGGCAAGGTGCTGCTTAAGGTCGTCGCTACACGACTGAGCCACTACTGCGAGCGAGAGGGCATCCTCCCGGAGGAGCAGAGCGGTTTCCGCCCACACCGGTCGACGCTGGACATGCTGTTCGCCATCCAGTGGCTGCATGAG